GGCTGAAATCAATTTTGATAGAGCCCACAGGGCCATGAGGCCAAAGTCCTTGTCCTAAGAAAAGCATAGGGACATTATTTTCTGACTTTATCACTACCCTCTAAAAGAAGACATCCAGAAATGTGTCGGGCTCCAGACAGCACTTACATTTCAAGTCAAACCAGTATTGCTCTTTCTGGACTTAACTCAAGCTACCTGATTGGTGTGCAGGGCCCTCAGGCCTGCCACTAAGGCCCTTCTGGACCACAGTCTCAAATTCAAGTGGAACTATCCATTTGCACTGTCTGTTATGCACCAAGGCAAACTACACACAGCTTCCACATAGAGCTGTTAAATGTACAAGCACAACGATCAATCCTCATTACCCATAGCACTTTTATTACCATGGGTAAAATAAGTGGCAAGCTTCTTGCAAGAGCACTAAAAGCTAGACATTAGACTACTTACATAGCCAAGATCAAGGACACTCAGAGAGTACAACACCACAGAGAAAATATCTCAGATCTTCAGCTCGATAACTTCTCGTACCGACGTTTCTGATTTCCAGAAGGAGCTTAATCTTTCTGATGATCCAACTGAAGATTAGATGGGACTGGCACACTCTGCCTCAACACCATTACCCCTTCACCAGCGCCTGCAGAAATCACCAAATAAAAAGGCAGATGGTGGCTGCTGCAAGAGAATATGGGCCAAGCTCCCATGCTTTCTTGACTTGAATGGACTACCCCGAACATCACGCATATACTTTCTATGTCAGATTCACGCACTGAACAGAGCTCTGGCCTCTGGCCTCAAGCTCCTGACTCTTAATGTAAACTACTTGTAAAAAAAATCCATAGATCGAAAGCTGGCATCTCTTTCCTTCAAGAGACCCATTTTAGATCTGGCTCAGCCCTTTCTTTAAAATCTAAATTTTCTAAATCTCCTAGGCCTTCTACAGTAACTTTGTAGGTGCCAATTATAGAGGAGTAGTGATCTTGTTTGCCTCCCACAAGCCATTCCGTTTGCAGGATGTCAGAACTGATCCCCAGGGATGATTTTTACTTCTTAAAGGGACTATTAAAAATGTCATGTTCACTTTTGCAACTGCATACAACCTTAATACCCATCAGTTTTGGTTTATACACCACACGTTGTCATAGCTTGAATCCTTTGAAGACAGTATCTTGGTGATAAGAGGTGACTGGAATTTAGTGACAGATAAGACCCTTGACACTACCTCAAGGTGAAGGGACACCCTGCGTAATCACCGGCTTCTCTTCCTGCTGGCATATAGCCCACCCTGCGGGAAGGGACTATACATACATTTCCTACCCAACAAAAAGTCACGTCTAGATATGTTTTACTTAGACAATAAAAGACTCCATCTATTACTAGGTGCATCAAGTGCTCAGACTACAGCCCTGTCTTTCTCTCTCTCAAACTTCAAGTGACAACCCAACCCACCCCAGTCTGGCACCTTAACAAGATCATTTTAGATGAGTTATTATTGACAATGTATTTAAAATATATATACCCTAAGACTCCACTGGCCAGTGGACATGGGAAGCCCACAAAGGGGTGATTTGAGGTATCCTCGTGAAATGGGGTTTGAGAATTAAAAAGAAGAGAATTAAGAGAATGCATTCCCTCCCACATAAGATCCAAATTGAGTAGGTGATTTAGAAAATTACTACTACACACAACGTATTGACATGTCTTACCACCCTCCACATAGAGCTGTTAAATGTACAAGCACAACGATCAATCCTCATTACCCATAGCACTTATTGTACCCATGGTAATAAAAGTGGCAAGCTTCTTGCAAGAGCACTAAAAGCTAGACATTAGACTACTTACATAGCCAAGATCAAGGACACTCAGAGAGTACAACACCACAGAGAAAATATCTCAGATCTTCAGCTCGTACAACCTACCTAAACAATTTAGATCAAAGCTTGGTGTCTGTGCTCCTACAAACTTTACCATGGCAGACATGCTTGACATCTCTCCTTACCAATCTTGCACATCCATTAGAAGTTCACATTCACCATTCATGGAGGCAATACAAGACAATATAGTTATTATCACTCTGACTATCCTGCTTGCACCCTTTAGCAGAACCCTGAGTTCTAAAATAGTCAAGGAGCTGAGACAACTCATTGCTAGTGGGAAGTAACAGTAAGCAACCTATTGCGGGGCACTTCATTCCCATCTCTGACGGACCTTAAAAGGTCAGGGCAACAATTTCTCACTAGTAAACATCTTATGTTATGCCTTTTTAGGAAAATTATTTATTACCACACTAGGAACTTAGAGATCTTACATTTTTTGAAACCATGTGCACTGGTCTAATAAAACTAGGTAAACCACTGTCTCATTTTTATTCTCTTATACAGCAAAAGGTGGGTGGCACGACTCTGCACCTTTTCAGAAGAAACGGTGCCCTGTTTTACATATTCATAACTCACATAAAGATTGAACATATATTTTTAACAGAGTAATGACATCTACAGTCATCCTGAATAGGGATAAAACTTTTTTTAAAAGAATAATGTGGTGGCACAAGACAACTTCATTCCAGCATGCACAAATGCCTGGTGTCTTGGAGAATGTTGGAGATATCTTTGAGCCACGGGAAACCTATATCATTTATGGTGGCAATGTCATGTTATATGGACTCAAATAATTGAGTTTTTTAAAAAAGATTTTGCCCAGTATTGTTAACTTGACCACTCCCTCACGCTCTCTCACAAGTGCCTCAACAATTGTTCCTCTGGCTCCTCCTAGGGAAGCAAATGCTCTGATCTCCAGGCTCTGGAAACAAGTAGAAGTACCAACACAGGGTCAATGATGTACAAAGCTTAGAAGAGCTACACTGGTCAGCTAGTGACCATAGACATAAATATCTACTGATTTGGGAGGCTTGGATGGCATACTAGTACATAATCCCAGGTCCTCTCCCTTGACCTCTGGCTCTGTTGCACGTACCACTTCCCATGGTTACACACATAAGCCCAGATACTGAAATGCTATGCACAGTTATAGCTTTGTTTTGAAGTCTAGATGGGCTAGATGGTCCTTGAACCATTCTTACAAGGTGTCAGAGATAACCAACACATTCAGAGCTTCACAATAGGCAAACAAGAGTAAAAGGTCACAGCTTTTGCAGATGGCCTTCTCTTTTCTATCTCGAACCCAATATCCACAATACCATACATTCTGGAGGAGATGAAAACCTATAGTTCAGTCTCCAATTTTCAGGCTAACCTAACCAAGTGCGACCTACTACCGGTATTCACTATGAAGGCCATAGATTCCCAACTGAAAGAAACATTCAATTTCAATTGGACACCTAAATCCCTCAAATACTTGGGAATCTTCATTCCAGCCATCCTACATCACATATACGACATCAACTTTCCCCCGCTGCTTGCAACAATTACTAAGGATCTACGCAACTGGCACAGACCATGCTTTGGCTGGTTCTGTAGGATTAACATTATAAGAATGAACATTCTCCCTCGCCTACTCTACCTCCTCCAGAAAATACCCGTTACATTACCGGGCAAATTCTTCACGACAGCCAAATCCATGCTCACAGGATTCAACTGGTCCTACACACGCCCCAGAATAGCCTACACAACATTAATCTCGGACAAGGAGAAGGGAGGTCTTAACTTACCTGACTTAGAATCCTATCACAAGGCGATTCATCTAAACAGAATATATAAATGGTCTCGTACACCACAAACTCAACAATGGGCACAACTCTAAAACACACTCTCTGAAACACACCTGTCCTCCAGTCCTTGGCTGCTTTCGGGTCACCAACAAATGTCTTAAATAACGGCCACACATCCAACGATCATGGCCACACTCAAAGTCTGGCATATACTGACAACAACAACTCCAATTTCACCCCATCCTTCCCCTCTATACCCACTCACCCACAACCCCTTTTTTCAACGAGGGCAATCAGGTAAAGCTTACAACTTATACCATAAGGGTACATCCCTGCAACTACGGAACAGGGGTGGCAGGCCCAGCGGGTGTGCTAGGTAGTGATAGCTCTTCAGGGATATCAGGCGTTAGTGACATAACTGAAATTATAAATATAAATAGTCAGTCGTATAAAATGTTTTGTGGGTGGGTACTGGTGGGCTAGCTAAATACCAAGCGGTGAAACAATTAAGCTTCTTTTGAGAGTGACAGATGAGACCCTGCTAGTTGCCAAGCGGCTTGAGAGGCACTATCTATGCGTGGGCCCGAGGGGAAGATTGAGGCCACTGAACGTTGTGGCGGGGTGTAGGCCTCTCGGTGTCATTTAAAGCATAAGAAAGATTGGGAGTGACAGGTGAGGCCCTCTCTTTGTATTGATGCGAGGCGGCTAGCTATGATTTGGCCCGAGGGACGTATTACCTCCGAGTGTGAGGTTAGGGATGTTGGCCTCGCGGGACCACTAGCCTATGGATTAAGACCAGAAATATTTTAACTAATTGGGCCACCTAACCTAGGACCAGTACCCCTCAAATATTTTAGGGAATATTGGGTTCTGGCGTAGTACCTGAAAGTGAGTCAGGCTGATCTCTCAATGACGTAACTGTGATATTTGTCGGGTAGTTGACCTGTAGGTATAAGATGATACGTAAATATCTGAAAAATGGGGTGGTAGTTAGGCCAGATCGTGGACCAGAACCTACCCGATAACTGCGGAGGAGATATAACCAAAGAAACCGGCTCCTTGCTTGTAAAAGCTACCGTTCCAATGATTAAACCTAGGAGAGTAAATTATAAATTTTACCTAAAATCATATGTTTATATGGTCATTTATATGAATCATATGACAATGTTACCAACCTATAAAGTATAAATGATACCGATCTCTGGGTCCCCAAAATTTTAATATGAATTCTGGTAAGGAAACCTGTTGGAAGATGTCAGATATCAGGATTGAATTAAGTGTAGCATAATTTAAAAGTTTTTTTGTTTTTTTTATGGTGCTATATCATTATTGACCGGTAGGGGGCGAGATTCCACCTAAGAAGTGGATGCAGGATCTTGTATAATTAGTGAGAAATGCACGAATTTAAGTCGAATGTGATGACAGTATATAATGACTACCTTTGTTTGGTAGAAATCCTAAGTATCTGGCCGAATGCAGCGTTCGTATGAATGCTAAAAACATGAATTACATAGCTTAGTGGCGAAGTGTATTTAGACGAAAAAGTACCGAATGCGGTTGAATGCGAATGGGGCTCCGCAGTGTAAGCCGAGAATACGAAGCGGTTTGCTTTACTGCGGGCCCAAACTTACGTTTTTTGGGGGCAGCAATACCGGGGAAGCTGTGCGGACGACGGTGGCGGCGGGAAAAGAGCCCTGGAGAGCCCGGACCACTCAGGAGGGCACCGGACCAGGAGACCACGAGGAAACAGGTAAGAGGAATCCAAGATGGCGGTCTGAACCGGAAGTAACGTTTCAGACTCGCCAGACCATTACGGTAATGTGGGAGTGGATTGGCAGCCCTTTTATAGGGAAACCAAGCCCCTCCCACAACTACAGGCCAAGCCTTTTAATATATACATATATATATATATATATAAATATATATCTATCTATCTATCTATCTATATATATATATATATATATATATATATATATATATATATGTGTGTGTATATATATATATATATATATATATATATATATATATATATATATATATTGTTTTTTTTTAACACTGATTGCTATTTTTTCAACTTTATTTTAGGATTTTTCACAGCACAGACAGTCCCCCTGCAGGCAGATACACAGGCACCTATTGCGGCCATGTGATCAGCGATCACGTGGCCGCGGGGTCCTGATCTGCTGCGGGGAGACTGCTTGGGCAGGCAGGCAGTCCCCCCAGACCGGGTGAAATGCCGATTGCTGCCGGGGACCGACGGCGATCAGATAAGTACCCCAAGACCGTTATGACGGTTCAGGACCGTCATTGGTCCTCAAGGGGATGTTTCAAGGGGTTAAGAGGCAAATCAGTGCTAAATCAAAAATAACTTCATGCCACCATAAACAGAGAAATGATGCAGAGCAATGAAACCCAAACATCATAAAATAAAATGGGGACACAACCTTCTCTACAGAGGCATACCATAGCATATATGACATTTAGGGGAATATTGTAATTCAATGAAGTTAGGGCACACTTCTAAGAGCAGCTTTTATTTTTTGTCTAAAAATAACTCCTTTGTCAAGTTAACCACACTATGCAATAACACACTATACAGCAAAAATAAATGAAAGAAATAATTGAAATGAAATAAATGAATAAATGAAATAATTACTCACAGCTACATCGGATCAGGGAGAGAGCTGTACTGTGGAGGACAAATTTAATTATAATGATAATATAGTCTAAAAGGGAATGTGTATAGCGCAAGAATTTGCATGTCTCCATGGCAATGTACCTATCTAATTATCAATCTATAAAAATAAAAATATACTTATAAATTCTTGGGGAAATTTTCCATGCTATGTAAGAGAAGTGAGACTTGGCTGTTACAGCACTCTTATTGATCACTACATAAATTATCCTCACATTGCTAAGGGTTATTTATTTATTTGCATTATGGCTTCTAGTGCTGCCAGAGTGCAAATAGTATGTTACGGTTGTATGTTGAAACCCGGGGTGCAGCAGGACCGAGAGAAAACTTACATAAAAATACAGAGGATATCCAATAAATGAAGGCCAGGCAGTTCTAGGTCAATATCCCAGGTAGCAAAGGTTCATATATGTAAAAAAACAGTCTAGGTCAATACCACATCGAAATGATTAAGAAACCGCCAAGTGTCTTAAGCTAACAGAACAAAAGAGAAAAGTGAGACAGTCAATTGTCATTTAAATATGGTGCAGTAACACCCTGTACCACCTCTTTAATAAAATGTGTAATTTTATGAGCTGGTGTATGTGACTGCCTAGCAACCAGGATGCCCACTGAAATAATTGTATTAAGCCCCCTGAGCGTAACTATAACCTCCTTTCTGTCACAGTCTTCACTCTGTGTTGCATTTGATTTCCTATAAAGAAGGGATACCCAAAGGGATACAATTCTAAAGGACTGTTTAATGCTTCATTAAAAAGCTGTTAAATTCAGTTTGCTGAGTGCCTGTAATTTTTTTATTCCCTCTGTCTTGTGTCATGCAGGAGTGGGCAGCAGCATCTGGAGGTTCTGCTTTCAGCCATATGGGATGCTGTTAGTAGGCCCTTACGGCTAGGACGTGACCCGTCCTGCAAACCACAAGCTGACGTTACTGCGGAGAGTAGGGATATGCCAAGTAGGTAAGTGACAACCAGAGGGGCGTAGTATTTCAAATTATCGTTCACTTGCATGACCGCATGAGTGTGCATAAATGGGCATTCATTCACAAATTTTATTAAAATCAGTGCTCTGTGAATCTCCTGAATCCTATCCTTTGTGTATGAATTGGATGCAAAAGCACCAATTTTAATCTGAACACTGAATGCTTTCTTGCGATATCTGAATATTCACTCAAGCCAACAATATTCTGACCAATTTGATTTAGTAAATATGAGAATTGACATTGCATTTAGGCAAAATCCGGTGTTTAGCAAAAAACTATGAGAGTCTACCCTATTCTGGATCACTATGGCACCAGTATTTTCTGTTGGCTTAATCACCAGTTCCATATTACCCTTCAAATATTTCAATGTGCTGAATTATGACTTTTTCAGATTAGGGGGTACACAGATACACCTACACTCCTCTGTACCAAGTCAACATATGTTTCAATTGTATGATCTTGGATAGAAGTGTAAAACATGATTTATTCCTCAAACTAGTGTCACTTAATTGGAGGATATTATCCATTACCTCTCCATTATTCAAAACAGGTACTTTTTCAAAGAAGTCTTAAGTTAAAAATCAAGCTCTACTCTCCTAAATTTATGCCTAGGACTAAAAAAATGTCAAAACCAAACCTAGCCAGCTAGTCAATGATAAACAATATTTGGACATTTAAAATTAAACATAGCTTCCCATACAATGTTTCCATCACAAGGTTGGGAAAGGTTTTGTGTGTGTGTGTGTGTGTTTGTGAGCATGGATGGGCAGGCTGTTTGTGGTTATGTAGTGTATTGATATAACCTGTATCTAGTGAATCAATATAAGATGCTCCTTAAAGCCAAGAAACTAAAGTGAGCATAAAAACAAACTATCTGAAATTGTATCCCTTAACCCCTTAAGGACACATGACATGTCTGACATGCCATGATTCCATTTTATTCCAAAAGCTTTGTCCTTAAGGGGTTAATGAAATTTCCAATAGTAATAAAAAAACAAACAACTAAATGTTAACGTTGCGTTTAAAATAAACATACCTTGAACATTTTGGTTGTTTTGTGGTTATGTATGATTTTCGAGGCTCCTTGTGAGACTTTGTGGTTGGGGAGACAGCTTATGGGTTTGTGTGTATGGGGTAGTCTACCTGTTGTGTTGTATGATTGTTTATAGGGAGAATGTTGCTTTGGGGATGAGGCAGCTTGTGAGAGTGTGTGTCTGTAAATGGATTTGTTTGCAGTGTAGTGTCTGTTAGTGGTATATTATAAGCATACTATGTACTATATATGTATGTATTCTATTTCCTTTAATATATTTTATAAGGAAGGATACATTGAGATTTCTCTCATTTTCAAGAATATCCTGGGTTCACAAACATTGCAGTAGGGTACTATATAATATTAAAAACCCCAAAACAATATTAATACACAATACAAATAAAACTTTAACATAGAACAGGTAAGAAATATATAGTCAACCATGACAGGTGCATTCTGTTTTGAGATATGTAGAGAGGGATCTTAGAGTAGAGAGGGATTTTAGGCTGGGGGAAGATTTGAAAATGTGTGGGAGTTCGTTCCATAATTGCGGTGCCTTGTAGGAAAAGGAGGATCGAGTCACTTTGTTTTGTATTGAGGTAGACTAAATAAAGCTGGTAGTACTGGATCAGGTGTTATGGGAGGTGGGAACAGCTGAGGAGAGCATTCTGCTCAAAGAGGGTGGGAGCTTCACAGAAAAGCTTTTAAACACAAGCCTGGAAAGTTGAAGGGTGTTTCTGGATTCCAGTGATAGCCAATTTAGCTCTTTTAACATGTCACAATAGTGGGTCATGTAATTACATTGTAGCACAAAGCGGTAGAACGAGTTATACAATGTAGTAAGTTTATTAGGGTGTAAATTTTTTATTCCCTCTGTCTTGTGTCATGCAGGAGTGGGCAGCAGCATCTGGAGGTTCTGCTTTCAGCCATATGGGATGCTGTTAGTACTGGATCAGGTGTTATGGGAGGTGGGAACAGATGAGGAGAGCATTCTGCTCAAAGAGGGTGGGAGCTTCACAGAAAAGCTTTTAAACACAAGCCTAGAAAGTTGAAGGGTGTTTCTGGATTCCAGTGATAGCCAGTTTAGCTCTTTTAACATGTCACAATAGTGGGTCATGTAATTACATTGTAGCACAAAGCAGTAGAACGAGTTATACAATGTAGTAAGTTTATTAGGGTGTAAATTTTTTATTCCCTCTGTCTTGTGTCATGCAGGAGTGGGCAGCAGCATCTGGAGGTTCTGCTTTCAGCCATATGGGATGCTGTTAGTACTGGATCAGGTGTTATGGGAGGTGGGAACAGATGAGGAGAGCATTCTGCTCAAAGAGGGTGGGAGCTTCACAGAAAAGCTTTTAAACACAAGCCTGGAAAGTTGAAGGGTGTTTCTGGATTCCAGTGATAGCCAGTTTAGCTCTTTTAACATGTCACAATAGTGGGTCATGTAATTACATTGTAGCACAAAGCAGTAGAACGAGTTATACAATGTAGTAAGTTTATTAGGGTGTAAATTTTTTATTCCCTCTGTCTTGTGTCATGCAGGAGTGGGCAGCAGCATCTGCAGGTTCTGCTTTCAGCCATATGGGATGCTGTTAGAAGGCCCTTACGGCTAGGACGTGACCCGTCCTGCAAACCACAAGCTGACGTTACTCCCCATAATCAATCACTGGCATTAGCATTTGTTGTACAATCCTTTACTGTAGGGCAGGACTGTCCAACCTGCGGCCCCACAGATGTTGCTGAACTACAACTCCCATGATCCCCAGGCTATCTGTTTCATTGAAAGACTCATGGGAATTGTAGTTCAGCAACATCTGGTGGGGCCGCAGATTGGACAGGCCTGCTGTAGGGCTTAGGCAGGATTTGTTT